CCAAATATATACAGCTGCGGAAAAAATTAAGAGACCACTGCAAAATTATCAGTTTCTCTGGTTTTACTAATTATAGGTATGTGTTTGGGTAAAAATAACATTTTTGTTTTATTCTATAAACTACTGACAACATTTCTCCCAAATTCCAAATAGAAATATTGTCATTTAGAGCATTTATTTGCAGAAAATGACAACTGGTCAAAATAACAAAAAAGATGCAGTGTTGTCAGACCTCTAATAATGCAAAGAAAATAAGTTCATGTTCATTTTTAAACAACACAATAGTAATGTTTTAACTTAGGAAGAGTTCAGAAATCAATATTTGGTAGAATAACCCTGATTTTCAATCACAGCTTTCATGTGTCTTGGCATGCTCTCCACCAGTCATTCACATTGATGTTGGGTGACTTTATGCCACTCCTGGCGCAAAAATTCAAGCAGCTCGGCTTTGTTTGATGGGCTTGTGACCATCCATCTTCCTCTTGATCACATTCCAGAAGTTTTTAATGGGGTTCAGGTCTGGATATTGGGCTGGCCATGACAGGGTCTTGATCTGGTGGTCCTCCATCCACACCTTGATTGACCTGGCTGTGTGGCATAGTAACCAGGAGTGGTATGGTGTTGATATCATAGTAACCAGGAGTGGTATGGTGTTGATATCATAGTAACCCGGAGTGGTATGGTGTTGATATCATAGTAACCAGGAGTGGTATGGTGTTGATATCATAGTAACCAGGAGTGGTATGGTGTCGATATCATAGTAAACCGGAGTGGGTATGGTGTTGATATCATAGTAACCAGGAGTGGTATGGTGTTGATATCATAGTAACCCGGAGTGGTATGGTGTTGATATCATAGTAACCAGGAGTGGTATGGTGTTGATATCATAGTAACCAGGAGTGGTATGGTGTTGATATCATAGTAACCAGGAGTGGTATGGTGTTGATATCATAGCAACCAGGAGTGGTATGGTGTTGATATCATAGTAACCAGGAGTGGTATGGTGTTGATATCATAGTAACCAGGAGTGGTATGGTGTTGATATCATAGTAACCAGGAGTGGTATGGTGTTGATATCGTGTGTATCTAAACAGCAAAAGGAGCGTGCATTGTGGCTCGAGAAATTATTGACACATGAAGTGAACAGCTTTGATTTTCGGAGCAGGGCACTGGTAAAATGTGCTATTTCTGGCATCCCGTTGGACATTGATAATCAATATCTTAGGCTAAAAAATCCAGGAGTAGTTAATGCACGTTGCTTGGCCCGTATGGAGAATGGGAAAAATGAGCAAAGTTTATCTGTATTATTGATGTTTGATGAATATTTACCACCCTATGTAAAGTAGTGATGTATATGCCTTCGGAGCGTTTGTGCAAAACAATGCAAGAAGTGTATAAAGTGTGGCCATGTTTCAAGTGTTTACATATGGAAGGAATATGTTATTGAAGAGTCTGAATATAAAATGTTGCAACTGTGTTGGGGATCATATTTCCGAATTCCCTGAGTGCCCTTTTAGGGTGAAAGAGGTTGAGCTATCAAGCAAATCTCCTATGTGGAGGCGGTGAAGAACGTTGAAGGGGAAAGAGGCCACAGTTCTGAAGAAGATATGGCGGTGGATCCACCACAACCAGTTGCACATGTTATACATCAACCAAGTGATCTGGATACACTTATTGTGAAGAAGGTGCATTTTGTAGTATTTGTAGCCACAGTTATTAATTGTACTGCACACGTGTCCAAGAAGCTGGACAGCATTATATCTGCAGCCGATACGTTTTTGGGCCTCCAAGACTTAACAGCAGAAGCACTGAAGGATCCTTATTATCTACCTGTACAGTAGGTGGCGGAATGCAGATAAAATTGTTGCGATTGTCATTATACCAAAGAAGAAGAGGAAAGTCAATTCGACAACTCTTTTACGTGGCTTTACCAGAGACTTGTCGACAGCAGGAGAAATGGTAGGTTAATATTTGTATTAAATAAGTCAGGTGTAAGATACTTTAGCAGTCAATTCTTATTTATCCCAACAAAACGTGATCATATTAAGGCCCGGTTTTTAACTTCTCTTTCTAATAAATGGCAGGTAAAAATATCAAAAACCCAACTAGGCCCTCTACGGCGGAGTGCGCACAAGGAAGTCTACGAAAGGTGTTGTCTTTTACACAGCGATCTGACGCTGACATGTAATCTATTAAACCGATATGTTGATATATTTATCCTAAAATAATACATGCTTATGTCGAAAGAAACGATAGACAATCGTGTCTATACAGTGTATTTCTTTCAAACTTTGATAGGTGGTCATGTCGATGAGTGCTCTGTAGGCCTAATTGACTTTAAGTACATTTTTACAGTGGTTGTGTCCGAATACTTGCGTTTAATTTTAGGTATGCGAAAATAGTCCGTTTTTTATATTATGTGACATTTCGAAAATAATGTAACATTTCGAAAATTGAGTGCTTTAACTACAAGGATTTTGTACTCATTTCGGCTTTGGTAGAATTCGCTCCACACTTAAGGAAGATAATCGTCTTTACAGATTCCGTTGTTTGACAGATGGTTATTAGCTGAGGGGAAGCAGTGTACTTACTGCATTCATTTTTACAAAACAGTAGTTTCTAAATAGTATGTATTACGATTAGTACACTATGTAGTTTTAGTAAGTAGTGGGCAATACAGATTTCAGACATGTCCTATGACTTCCAGTCGCAGCTGCTCCCAGTCAACCCAGACAAAATAGATGCGTAAAAACGCATCCACTTTCGGTTTCAGTTGGGACCATAGAGCTAGATAGAGGACTCACCCTTGTATCTATTCTATTTAGCATCTCTGACATCATGGGCAGCGCCGATGAGGCAATCTCCATTTTAAAGGAATACATTTTCTTCTTCAGCCAGTGATGTTGGAAGTCCCACCCAGTTGACTACATTAATATGATGGCATCCCTCAATGGCGCTGCCCATTCTAACGTGGCCTTTTGGCCGCTAGAGGCCTCTATCATTCTCTATGGTTGGGGCGTTTGGGCTAGAAGGGATACCATTAGTCAGAAATGACCAGGTTTGGCTTTTCGTAGCAGGTTGGTTAGGATAAATTATGCAGAAAGTTGTGATAATTAAGGTTAAGGTTAGGAAACGGGTTAGGGTTAACTTAAATGCAAAAGGAAATCATATTTTGACGTCAATTAGACATAAACTGTATCAGGTTAGGTCGAATTGGTGTCCAGCCTAGGCCTGGATCATTTCTACAATGCGGTGCGTTTTCTGTCTCCAGGAAATATCAATTCTTATTTAGTTTAACATGTGGATTCCAAAAGGCTTTAAATATAAGGTCCGCCGTCCTTAAAAACACAAAATTATGCATATTGAAAGGGAAGTGTATGTATTTTGAACACTTTTCTTCAGTGGATGTTGGTGTTTTTGCCATGTCCCCAGGTGTTATTCATACATTTCCACAAGAAATATAAGCCATAAAATGGCCTAGGTTGCCATTACAAGTTGGCCTAGGTTGCCATTACAAGTTGGCCTAGGTTACCATTACATGTTGGCCTAGGTTGCCATTACATGTTGGCCTAGGTTACCATTACAAGATGGCCTAGGTTACCATTACAAGTTGGCCTAGGTTACCATTACAAGTTGGCCTAGGTTACCATTACAAGTTGGCCTAGGTTACCATTACAAGTTGGCCTAGGTTACCATTACAAGTTGGCCTAGGTTACCATTACAAGATGACCTAGGTTACCATTACAAGTTGGCCTAGGTTACCATTACAAGTTGGCCTAGGTTACCATTACAAGACGGGTAGCTACTGGGTTTCATCTTGTTTCATTACTCAGGGTTGTACAGTACAGTTCTGAGGACGCTGAAAAGTTAGAGCAGGTACAGTATCAGCAGAACTATTGTTGCAATGTGTGACGGCACCGTCAGTGTTTTATCCGAACATGTCTTTTTCTTTTAATGCAATGAAATGTGCAATTGTGCTTGTTTCTTTCACCGTGGCAAAACGTTCAGGAGAACTTCAGTGCCTGTATGAGTCAGAACGCTGTGAAGGAATATACAGGTATCTGCCTAAATAAAGTATCTTAATAGGGAGTTGGGCCCCACCAGCTGCCAGAACAGCTTCAATGCACCTTGAAATAGATTCTACAACTGTCTGGAACTCTATTGGAGGGATGCGACACCATTCTTCCACAATAACTTCCATAATTTGGTGTTTTGTTGATTGTAGACCTCCCGAGTGGTGCAGTGGTCTAAGGCACTGCATCGCAGTGCTAGCTGTGCCACTAGAGATCCTGGTTCGAATCCAGGCTCTGTCGTAGCCGGCCGCGACCGGGAGATCCATGGGGCGGCGCACAATTGGCCCAGCGTCGTCCAGGGTGGGGGAGGGAATGGCCAACTGCATTCATATCCAACTGCATTCCAGGAACAGACCCCCTCGCAGCCATTACAGGGATGTAGCTCAGTTGGTAGAGCATGGCGTTTGCAACACCAGGGTTGTGGGTTCGATTCCCACGGGGGGCCAGTATGAAAACTAAAAAAAATAATGTATGCACTCACTAACTGTAAGTCGCTCTGGATAAGAGCGTTTGCTATATAAGTGTTCCACCCTGGCGACAGACACACACCCTTTAAAGCCCCTATGCTCCGTTGAGACCCCTCTTTCAAAGTCACTGAGATCTCTTCTAGCCATGGTAGCCAAAATAATGGGCACCTGGGCATTTTTATACATGACCCTAAGCATGATGGGATGTTTTAATCACTTAATTAACTCAGGAACCACACCTGTGTGGAAGCACCTGCTTTCAATATACTTTGTTCCATCATTTACTCAAGTGTTTCCTTTATGTTGGCAGTTACCTGTATGTCAAAAGCAGTTGATGTATCTTGATTTTTAAAATATCTGTTGTACATTTACCAAAGTAACAAGTTCTGTGTTTTTAAAGAAATGACTGATTCATATTTTGTTCTCACACTTTAAGAGTTGTGTTGGCGACCATCACACAATGCTGGCCTCATATGATGATGGTAGGTATATGTGGAAACACATAATAAACTGACCCAAACAATATTATTTAATTTAAATCTCAATTTAAGAGGATACATTTAGTAAGATATCAATTGTTGTCCCTTAACTGCTGGGATGAATAATACACATGTTTATGTAATTTTATTGTCAATAAAGTTTGTTTCTCTCTCATTATTCCTTCACCAGTGCTGCCCCCTCCTGGGGACATCCAGGTCCTGTTGCTGACATTAGATTCAGTGTCTCTGAGCTGGAGTTCTCCTCAGGGGCTGACAGGACCACAGACATTCAGAGTGACCTGGGGGTGTGACGGTGAAACAAGCTCAACAAGAGTGAAAGGTGGGCATCATCTTGAAATAAGCAGTCTCCAACCTGGTAAAAAGTACCAGTTCAGTGTGGCTATAGAGGGAGAAGATGGAAGCCAAAGCAAATGTGTCTCAGCATCCCTATCCACAGGTACAGTAGGCTAACTTGTGTTTTTATTCAGACTACATCATTAATTCATTCCTAGAGACATTTTTGGACTCTCTGTCAAAAACAGCACATCCTCTATTCTAAACAAATCTTGATTTTTGTTCCAGTGGTCCCACCCAGAGATTTCAAGATAGACCATTTGGAAGAGTCCTCCTTCACTCTCCACTGGTCCAAGGCTGAAGGGATGGAGAAAGTCCCACAGCGCTTCTTCATATCCAACTGTATCCCAGGAACAGACCCCCTCGCAGCCATTACTGACGACTGCCACAAAACCTTCTCAAACCTGCAACCCGGCACCGAGTACACTGTTAGTGTTGCAACTGTGCTGAGCAATGGGGAACAGAGTGAACCTGTCTCTACAACAATCTGCACTAGTAAGAGATCTTCCCCCAATTACAGCTCATCATCTCTTTACTAGAAACTACAGTGATTTTGTTGCATTACAAATAACATTTTTGTTTTGTTGTTAGTGTTCTGTTCTGTTTTTTCTTTGTTTCGTTTTTTCCCCATATCAAAAGCCCTGGATTTTTGTACTTTTCCACCTGTAAGGCTATAAACATTTTATTAAATTTTTTGAAAATGAGGTGAGCTAAAATTTAAGGTAGAACTAGGGCTTGCATGTACAGTAACAAACAGTTACATGACCTTTCAACATCTTCATATCAGAACCATGGACAGTGTCGTGACTTGACTTCAACATTAACCTGAGGACTGTTATTTATCTAATCAACTATGATTAATTGTTACCCGATTAAATTAATAATGTAACAATTAACTCATAGGGATCTGGGGCACCATGAGAGGAGTTCTTTAAAGTCACCATCTCCCAAATTAAACTCTAAAAGGTCTTTACCTATCACATCTATAAACAATCAACGTATTATTTTTTTTATTTTTTTTATTTCACCTTTATTTAACCAGGTAAGCCAGTTGAGAACAGGTTCTCATTTACAACTGCGACCTGGCCAAGATAAAGCAAGTAGTGCAATAAAAACAACACAGAGTTACATATGGGTAAAAAAAAACATAAAGTCAGAAATACAACAGAAAATATATATACAGTGTGTGCAAATGTAGCAAGTTATGGAGGTAAGGCAATAAATAGGCTATAGTGCAGAATAATTACAATAGTATTAACACTGGAATGCTAGATGTGCAAGAGATGATGTGCAAATAGAGATACTGGGGTGCAAAAGAGCAAAATAAATAACAATATAGGGATGAGGTAGTTGGGTGGGCTAATTTCAGATGGGCTGTGTACAGGTGCAGTGATCGGTAAGGTGCTCTGACAACTGATGCTTAAAGTTATTGAGGGAGATAAGAGTCTCCAGCTTCAGAGATTTTTGCAATTCGTTCCAGTCATTGGCAGCAGAGAACTGGAAGGAATGGCGGCCAAAGGCGGTGTTGGCTTTGGGAATGACCAGTGAGATATACCTGCTGGAGCGCAGACTACGGGTGGGTGCTGCTATGGTGACCAATGAGCTAAGATAAGGCGGGGATTTGCCTAGCAGTGATTTATAGATGGCCTGGAGCCAGTGGGTTTGACGACGAACATGTAGTGAGGACCAGCCAACAAGAGAGTACAGGTCACAGTGGTGGGTAGTGTATGGGGCTTTGGAGACAAAACGGATGGCACTGTGATAGACTACATCCAATTTGCTGAGTAGAGTGTTGGAGGCTATTTTGTAAATGACATCGCCGAAGTCAAGGATCGGTAGGATAGTCAGTTTTACGAGGGCATGTTTGGCAGCATGAGTGAAGGAGGCTTTGTTGCGAAATAGGAAGCCGATTCTAGATTTAACTTTGGATTGGAGATTCTTTATGTGAGTCTGGAAGTTGAGTTTACTGTCTAACCAGACACCTAGATATTTGTAGTTGTCCACATACTCTAGGTCAGACCCGTCGAGAGTGGTGATTCTAGTGGGGTGGGCGGGTGCTAGCAGCGTTCGATTGAAAAGCATGCATTTAGTTTTACTAGTGTTTAAGAGCAGTTGAAGGCTACTGAAGGATTGTTGTATGGCATTGAAGCTCGTTTGGAGGTTTGTTAACACAGTGTCCAATGAAGGGCCAGATGTATACAAAATGGTGTCGTCTGCGTAGAGGTGGATCTGAGAGTCACCAGCAGCAAGAGCGACATCATTGATATACACGGAGAAAAGTGATAAACTCCTTTCATCTGCAAAAACCCGAGCCTTACTTATGATTCAGTACTACAGAAATTAGTTTATAAATGTAATGTAAATGTAATTGACTGGAAACTTAATGTGATGAAAACAGGTCCCTAGTGGAATGACAACAACATTGATGCTTGTTAAAGAAGAGAGGGAGAGAATCACTTAACATTGCCACATTCGGAAACTACTCTCCTCTACTGTAACCATATACTTTGCACACGAACCGCCGCCCTCTTTGATATGCCTGGTTCGCCATGTATCTCTCTCGGTGGACAGGGCCGCCTTGGAAAGGTAGTTGGGCCTTTTCGCGGCACGTTTGTAAGGCTCTGATTGTCCAAAAGGGTTCCAACAAGTCTTGTTTTTCTCCTCTGTAGTTGTCTGGTATCCGGTGACTTGTCATGTAGTCCTGAACAGAACTACAGAATTGATTCTCCTTCCATACGCTCTTGAAGTTGCTTCTTTGAAGATAGGCTAGCCAGCCGTATCGATGGTTCCCCAGTGGGGTGATGAGAGTAGCGTAATACGGTGGTTTGAGCAGGGTAGCAGATGGTCCTACTTAAATTCGCTTTCGAAGATGCCTTAATTAGGGCAGCTAATCAGCCGTACTAGTGACTGTCCGGGAGGTGAGTATATTTTCTTCACCTCGTGTTGAGATTCAAAGTTCCAACCATTTGAAACATGTAGTGGCTGCTTCACATTTTTCTGGTCTAGTATGTTCATTTATTTTCCCACCATTTATACACTCTGCTCGAAAGGGGCCGTTCCGTCAGGCTGACACGCTCTCTGACCTCACTTCGGGCGGTGACTAGTAACTGCGAAGTTGTGAAAAACATTTATCTCTCAGAGCTTCTCAAATCACATCCCTCTCTTAACACAAATACTTTCATCATTTTTCATATTACATGCACAACGCATATGATGGACACTTCGTAAATGTAGTGGGTATACTTTCCAAGTTACAGTATTTCCTTTATATAAATGTTTAATGACAACACAAAATAACAAACAGAATGACCTTAGTGTCCATCATATGGATCGCCTCTGACCATTCCCCACGTTCTACGTTCTAAATATTGTTCCAGTATTCACTTTTGAAAGTGTTAAAGTTTCAGCTGGAAAAAGTCTGTTGAAACAGACATTCCTTTGGTGAATTTTGAGAGGGAGAGCCTGAATGTTCTCCTTTGATTTACTACAGGGCGTGAGCTGTTAACCCCTCCTAGTTCTTTCCTTCCCCCTCTACTGGTGATTGGTCTGATTGAAGTTATTCATTTCAAACCTGATCTGACCTATTTGTATTCTCATGGACAGTCATTACAACAACCACATCATATTTAGCTTACGTTGATTGGACAAAATCGTTTTTTGGTATCTTTTAGTTGTCACTGTATTCAACTAAGCAGAGGTGATTTGATGTTGAAGTTGAAATGGTGCTGGAATAGTGGATGCAGCTCCTGTTTTCTTTGCAACTTGCGGTAACTCTCCATGGTTCTAAATCAATAGTTGTTTAGCGGTCCTAAAATGTTAAACATTAACTTGCTTGACCACGCTGTAGGTCATGTCTGTTACTGTACATGCAATATGCTTTGTGGACTTCACTGGACAGAGGTTGCTCTTTGGGGGGGGGGGGGGGGGGTTCTCCTGTGATTTTACACACACACAGCTACATATTATACTCAACAAAAATTAAATGCAACAATTTAAACAATTTTACTGAGTTAAAGTTCTTACAAGAAAATCTGTAAATTGAAATAAATTCATTAGGCCCTAATCTATGGATTAGGCCCACCCACTGGGGAGCCAGGCCCAGCCAATCAGAATGAGTTTTTCCCCACAAAGGGCTTTATTACAGACCGGGTGGCTGGTCTCAGACGATCCCGCAGGTGAAGAAGCCGGATGTGGAGGTCCTGCGCTGGCATGGTTGTGAGGCCAGTTGGAAGTACTGCCAAATTCTCTGAAACAATGTTGGAGACGGCTTATGGTAGAAATATGAACATTCAATTCTCAGGCAACATCTCGGTGGACAGTCCTGCAGTCAGCATGCCAATTGCACAATCCCTCAATACTTGAGACATCTGTGGCATTGTGTTGTGACAAAACTGCACATTTTATAGTGCCCTTTTATTGTTTCCAGCACCTGTGTAATGATCATGCTGTTTAATCAGCTTCTTGACATGCCACACCTGTCAGGTGGATGGATTATCTTGGCAAAGGAGAAATGCTCACTAACAGGGATGTAAACAAATTTGAGAGAAATAAGCTGTTTGTGCGTATGGAACATTTCTGGGATCTTTTATTTCAGCTCCTGAAACATGGACCAACACTTTACATTTTACGTTTATATTTTTGTTCAGTATAGTAAAGACAAGATTAAATTGAGACTAGTCTGATGGGTAAAAATGTGATTACTTGATGAGAGAACAGTGTGTGCAGCATGAAGCTTTTTTTGCTTGCACTCTGTCCCTATAGTCCCATCATGCAGCCCATATGTTTTAGTTTGTAAGACATTCTAAGGTTTCTGTAATTCACAACTAAAGTTGCCAAATAACTTTAAATCTAGCATATAGGATCTGTTTCAAATGATCACTTTTACACTCAGCATAGCCACTTCATATGCGCATGGGCTCTGGATTGGGAGAAATATCCTTTCTATTTTATTCACATAAATTCAATTATATTCTTCTTACTATAACATAATTGCATGAGACTTGAGCATATCTTGTCTGCTAAATGAACAAGCCTACAACCTATGGCATGGTGCATAGCCAGATAATATACAGTAGGCCAACTCTTCTGTTCTTCCGAAATACATTTTCTTCATATCATGTTTCTTTAGTCCTGCCTAAAATAAATCATTGATTTATTGTGGTGGTGTATATTAAATCATTTAGACTTCTTAAAATTGTTGATGTTTCAAAGGCACACATCATAGCCCAGGTGTTTATTTGCATGAATCACTGGACACAACAGGCGATTTTTAGAGACATGCTTCTATTTCCTTAATGCACACAGCTTTTGCTCATTTGCATAGTCAATTTTTGAATTCCACAGGGATGCTGGCCAATGTTGACTCCAATGCTTCCCACAGTTGTGTCAAGTTGGCTGGATGTCCTTTGGGTGGTGGACCATTCTTGATACATACGTGAAACTGTTGAGTGTGAAAAAAACAGCACCGTCGCAGTTCTTGACCCAAACTTATGCTCCTGGCACATACCATACTCCGTTCAAAGGCACTTAAATATTTTGTCTTGTCCATTCACCCTCTGAATGGCACATGTATAAAATCCATGTCTCAATTGTCTCAAGGCTTAAAAATCTTTCTTTAACCTGTCTCCTCCCCTTCATCTACACTGATTGAAGAGGATTTAACAAGTGACATCAATAAGGGAGCATAGCTTTCAACTGGATTCACCTGGTCAGTCTTTCATGGAAAGTGCAGATATCCTTAATGTTTTGTAAACTCAGTGTATATCTGGAGTTAAACTGTAGCCCTGACAATAATGTATTTATTTCCCCTTAGTACTTCCTGCTCCAGAGCAGCTGAATGTTGACTCAGTGGACACCACATCAGCTGCTGTTAGCTGGAGCCAGCCACCAGGATTGGACCAAACCCAACATCATTACCAGATCTCCTACCGCTGTCCAGGGACAGAACCCCACATCACTACCACATCTTCACACAGCATCACTCTCTCTGACCTGCAATGTGGGACTCAGTACTCTGTCACTGTCTGCACTGTGCTGGAAAATGGAAAGAAAAGTCAACTGGTGTCAACAACCCTCACCAAAGGTAACGAAGTACCCAACTAAAGTATTATATCTAGTGTCAAAGTTAATTAAACTTTAACTAGTTATCAAAATAACTATGATCTAATCATAATGGATGTGTCAGCATGGGATGTAAAGGTACAGTATCTTCCCTGATGAGAAATATATGATGGTGAATTCCCTGGATCTCATGGTGCAGTTTGGTGCTGAAATCATTAATGCTTCCCATTAGTGTGAGTCAATATATCAAGTAGTTGCTCTGCCTCTGCTTGCTTTAACTTGATCAGTACTACAGTGTGAAACACTTGTTATTGTGGAGAGGATTTTTAATCACATTTTAATTTCTATTTATATATTTTTTGGAGTGGCGGCAACAATTTAGCAGCACAGCACCATTGCTAAATGAATACAGCAGAATCCCTTTATTTTTGTTATTTTACGAATTCATCTTTTGTTGTGTGACTTCTGTTTTTAGCTTATTTCTTCCCAAACCTAAAATAATTGCAAGGCTGGCTTTTCTACTTTGACTACTATTTTACTTTTCTTAGTGCAGTTTATTTCTGGAGTTAAACTGTAACACTGACAATAATGTGTTTTCACTTAGTACTTCCTGCTCCTGACCAGCTGACTGTTGACTCAGTGGACACCACATCAGCTGCTGTTAGCTGGAGCCAGCCACCAGGACTGGACCAAACCGAACATCATTACCAGATCTCCTACCACTGTCCAGGGACAGAACCACACATCACTACCACATCTTCACACAGCATCACTCTCTCTGACCTGAAACCTGCTACTAATACTCTGTCACTGTCTGCACTGTGATGGAAAATGGAAAGCAAAGTCAACTGGTGTCAACAACCCTCACCACAGGTAAGGAAGTACCCTACTAAAGTATTATGTCTGGTGTCAAAGTTTATTTAGTTTTATCTAGTTATCAAAATGACTGAACTAATCATAATGGATTTGTCAGCATGGGATGTAAAGGTACAGTATATTTTCTACTTTGACTAATATTCTACTTTTCCTCCTGTTAAAGATGATAGAAATCCTCATCATTTGAGCGTAATTATTTCTCTATAGCCTTTACTTTCTCACTCTGAACGCGAATGGGTGTGACTTCTTGACAACGATCACAATGGCTCCAATGCACAGCGCCCCTGGAGCAATTAGGATTAAATGCCTTGCTCAAGGGCAGAGCAACATATTTTTCACCTTGTCTGCTCCGGCATTCGAACCAGCAACCTTTCGGTTACAGGCCCAACACTGTAACCTCAAGGCTACCTGCCTCTACCTTACCCCTATCTACAGTGTCCTCCGTTAATATTGAGACTACCTGCCTCTACCTTACCCCTACCTACAGTGTCCTCTGTTAATATTGAGGCTACCTGCCTCTACCTTACCCCTACCTACAGTGTCCTCTGTTAATATTGAGGCTAACTGCCTCTACCTTACCCCTATCTACAGTGTCCTCCGTTAATATTGAGGCTACCTGCCTCTACCTTACCCCTACCTACAGTGTCCTCCGTTTAATATTGAGGCTACCTGCCTCTACCTTACCCCATATCTACAGGTGTCCTCTGTTAATATTGAGACTACCTGCCTCTACCTTACCCTTACCTAGTGTCTTTCGTTAATATTGAGACTACCTACCTCTACCTTACCCCTACCTACAGTGTCCTCCGTTAATATTGAGGCTACCTGCCTCTACCTTACCCCTACCTACGGTGTCCTCTGTTAATATTGAGGCTACCTGCCTCTACCTTACCTCTACCTAGTGTCCTCCGTTAATATTGAGACTACCTGCCTCTACCTTACCCCTATCTACAGTGTCCTCCGTTAATATTGAGACTACCTGCCTCTACCTTACCCCTACCTAGTGTCTTCCGTTAATATTGAGGCTACCTGCCTCTACCTTACCCTATCTACAGTGTCCTCTGTTAATATTGAGGCTACCTGCCTCTACCTTACCCCTATCTACAGTGTCCTCCGTTAATATTGAGACTACCTGCCTCTACCTTACCCCTACCTAGTGTCTTCCGTTAATATTGAGACTACCTGCCTCTACCTTACCCCTATCTACAGTGTCCTCCGTTAATATTGAGGCTACCTGCCTCTACCTTACCCCTATCTACAGTGTCCTCCGTTAATATTGAGACTACCTGCCTCTACCTTACCCCTACCTACAGTGTCCTCCGTTAATATTGAGGCTACCTGCCTCTACCTTACCCCTACCTACAGTGTCCTCCGTTAATATTGAGGCTACCTGCCTCTACCTTACCCCTACCTACAGTGTCCTCCGTTAATATTGAGGCTACCTGCCTCTACCTTACCCCTACCTACAGTGTCCTCCGTTAATATTGAGACTACCTGCCTCTACCTTACCCCTACCTACAGTGTCCTCCGTTAATATTGAGACTACCTGCCTCTACCTTACCCCTACCTACAGTGTCCTCCGTTAATATTGAGGCTACCTGCCTCTACCTTACCCCTACCTACAGTGTCCTCCGTTAATATTGAGCTACCTGCTCTACCTTACCCCTACCTACAGTGTCTCGTTAATATTGGACTACCTGCCTCTACCTTACCCTACTAGTGTCCTCGTTAATATTGAGGCACCTGTCCTACCTTACCCTATTCAGTGTCACTCCTTAATATTGAGATACTGCTCTACCTTTCACCTACCTCAGTGTCCTCCGTTAATATTGAGCTACCTGCCTACCTTCCCCTACCTACAGTGTCCTCCGTTAATATTGAGGCTACCTGCCTCTACCTTACCTACCTCTCCGTTAATATTGAGGCTACCTGCCTCTACCTTACCCCTATCTACAGTGTCCTCCGTTAACATTGAGTCTACCTGCCTCTACCTTACCCCTACCTACAGTGTCCTCCGTTAATATTGAGGCTACCTGTCTTTACCTTACCCCTACCTAGTGTCCTCCGTTAATATTGAGGCTACCTGTCTCTACCTTACCCCTACCTAGTGTCCTCGACAGTGCAGCATTTCTTCTTATGGCTCTATACTCCAAAAGTTTGGATTTGAAATCATGACTATGAGGTTAAAGTGCAGACCGTCAGCTTTAATTTGATGGTATTTTCATCCATATCAGGTGAACCATTTAGAAATAACATCATGTGTAATACAGTAGTTAAAAGTTTAGTATTCTCAGAATATCAGGCGCGGGCTGATAAATGTACGTTTTCACATTGCATTTTCTTTTAGGGGGCAAGAGAATTAACGAGGATACTTTGAGCGCTTTAATCATAATTTTTACATTGCAAACATTAACTATCATTTTTCATGCTACGAAAGGTAGTGGATCCGGCCAAATAGGTTCTGTAACGCATCAGTCCAAACTGGAGAGGTGCCGGATCCTGTTCCCGAAGGATCCAGCTCAAATAAAGCACTGATGATACAAGTAAAACACATTAACACATTACCAAAGATCTTACCTTAATAATTTGTGATTCAGTACATTTCCAGTGGTGGAAGAGACCCTCCAGAGTTGCTGCAGTGTGTGTTCTACTGGCTGTGATCATAGGCCTGTGGGATTCCTGTAAGTTTTTTATATATTTTTTTTACTAAAACATTTGTAGTCAATGTTGTGACAGTTACACATTTTGATTGACTTTTCCCTTTTACAGATGCCACTTTAGAGCGAGACCAGCTACAGAATAGTCTAAATACCAGGACCACCGAGAGAGACCAGCTACAGAATAGTCTGAACACTAGAACTATGGAGCGTGACCAGCTACAAAAGGAGATAGAAAGGCTGAACTGGAAGATCAAAGGTAAGGACAGCCCTGTTTTAAATACAGAGAAATAAACACATACAGTTGAAGTCGGAAGTTTACATACACCTTAGACAAATACATTTAAACTCAGTTTTTCACGATTCCTGACATTTAATCCTAGTAAAAATTCCCTGTCTTAGGTCAGTTAGGATCACCATTTTATTTTAAGAAATAATAATAGTAGAGTGATTTATTTCAGCTTTTATTTCTTTCATCACATTCCCAGTGGGTCAGAAGTTTACATACACTCAATTAGTATTTGGTAGCATTGCCTTTAAATTGTATAACTTGGGTCAAACGTTTCGGGTAGCCTTTCACAAGCTTCCCACAATAAGTTGGCTGAATGTTTGCCCATTCCTCCTGACAGAGCTGGTGTAACTGAGTCAGGTTTCTAGGCCTCCTTGCTCGCACACGCTTTTTCAGTTCTGCCCACATATTTTCTATAGGATTGAGGTCAGGGTTTTGTGATGGCCACTCCAATACCTTGACTTTGTTGTCCTTAAGCCATTTTGCCACAACTTTGGAAGTATGCATGGGATTATTGTCCATTTGGAAGACCCATTTGCGACCAAGCTTTAACTTCCTGACTGATGTCTTGAGATGCTGCTATATCCACATAATGTTCCTTCCTCATGATGCCATCTATTTTGTGATGTGCACCAGTCCCTCCTGCAGCAAAGCACCGCCACAGCATGATGCTGCCACTCCTGTGCTTCACGGTTAGGATGGTGTTCTTCGACTTGCAAGCGACCCCCTTTTCCTGCAAAAATAACGATGGTCATTATGGCCAAACAGTTCTATTTTTGTTTCATCAGACCAGAGGACATTTCTCCAAAAAGTACGATCTTTGTCCCCATGTGCAGTTGCAAACCGTTGTCTGGCTTTTTTATGGCGGTTTTCGAGCAGTGGCTTCTTCCTTGCTGAGCGGCCTTTCAGGTTATGTCGATATAGGACTCGTTTTACTGTGGATATAGATACTTTTGTACCTGTTAACTCCAGCATCTTCACAAGGTCCTTTGCTGTTGTTCTGGGATTGATTTGCACTTTTCGCTTGAAAGTACGTTAATCTCTAGGAGACAGAACGCGTCTCCTTCCTGAGTGGTATGACGGCTGCGTGGTCCCATGGTATTTATACTTGCGTACTATTGTTTGTACAGATGAACATGGTACCTTCAGGCGTTTGGAAATTGCTCCCAAGGATGAACCAGACTTGTGGAGGTCTACAAAAAAATGTCTGAGGTCTTGGCTGATTTCTTTTGATTTTCCCATGATGTCAAGCAAAGAGGCACTGAGTTTGAAGGTAGGCCTTGAAATACATCCACAGGTACACCTCCAATTGACTCAAATGATGTCAATTAGCCTATCAGAAGCTTCTAATCATTTTCTGGAAATTTCCAAGCTGTTTAAAGGCACAGTCAACTTAGTGTATGTAAACTTCTGACCCACTGGAATTGTGATACTGTGAATTGTAAGTTAAATAATCCGTCTATAAACAGTTGTTGAAAAAATTACTTGTATCATGCACAAAGTAGATGTCCTAACCGACTTGCCAAAACTATAGTTAGTTAACAAGAAATTTGTGGAGTGGTTGAAGAACGAGTTTTAATGACTCCAACCTAAGTGTATGTGAACTTCCGATTTCAACTGTACATTGCCTTCGGAAAGTATTCAGACCCCTTTTTCCACATTTTGTTACGTTACAGCCTTATTCTAAAATGGATTAAATAAAGAAAAAATCATCAGCAATCTACACACAATACCCCTTGACAAAGCAAAAACAGGTTTTTAGATTTTTTTTGGTCAATTTATAAAAAATTAAAAAACAGAAATACCATATTTACATAAGAATTCAGCCCCTTTGCTATGAGACTCGAAATGTATCCTTGAAATGTTTCCACAACTTGGTTGGAGTCCACCTGTGGTAAATTATACTCATTGGACATGATTTGGAAAGGCACACACCTGTCTATATAAGGTCCCACAGTTGACAGTACATGTCAGATCAAAAACCAAGCCATGAGGTCGAAGAAATTGTCTGCAGAGCCCTGAGACAGGATTGTGTCGATGCACAGATCTGGGGAAGGGTATCAAAAAATGTCTGCAGCTTTAAAGGTCTCCAAGAACACAGTGGCCTCCATCATTCTTAAATAGAAGATGTTTGGAACCACCAAGACTCTTCCTAAATCTGGCCACCCGGCCAAACTGAGCAATCGGGAGAGAAGGGCCTTGGTCAGGGAAGTGACCAAGAACCTGATGGTCACTCTGACAGAGCTCTATAGGTCCTCTGTGGAGATGGGAGAACCTTCCAGAAGGACAACCATCTCTGAGGCACTCCACCAATCAGGCCTTTATAGTAGACGGAAGCCATTCCTCAGTAAAATGCACATGAAGACAAGATTACCTGGTCTGATGAAACCAAGATTGAGCTCTTTGGCCTGAATGCCAAGTGTCACATCTGGAGGAAACCTGGCACCATCCCTACGGTGAAGCATGGTGGTGGCAGCATCATGCTGTGGGGTTGTTTTTCAGCGGCAGGGACTGGGAGACTAGTCGGGATCTGGAACGAACTGGAACGAATTGCAAAAATCTCTGAAGCTGGAGACTCTTATCTCCCTCAATAACTTTAAGCATCAGTTGTCAGAGCACCTTACCGATCACTGCACCTGTACACAGCCCATCTGAAATTAGCCCACCCAACTACCTCATCCCTATATTGTTATTTATTTTGCTCTTTTGCACCCCAGTATCTCTATTTAAACATCATCTCTTGCACATCTAGCATTCCAGTGTTAATACTATTGTAATTATTCTGCACTATAGCCTATTTATTGCCTTACCTCCATAACTTGCTACATTTGCACACACTGTATATATATTTTCTGTTGTATTTCTGACTTTATGTTTTTTACCCCATATGTAACTCTGTGTTGTTTTCTATTGCACTACTTTGCTTTATCTTGGCCAGGTCGCAGTTGTAAATGAGAACCTGTTCTCAACTGGCTTACCTGGTTAAATAAAGGTGAAATAAAAAAAATATTAAAAAAAATCAAGGCAAAGATGAACAGAGTAAAGTGCTTATATCCTTGATGAAAACCTGCTCCAGAGTGCTCACAACCTCAGACTGGGGCAAGGTTCACCTTGCAACAAGACGACGACCCTAGGCACACAGCCAAGACAATGCAGGAGTGGCTTCGGGACAAGTCTCTGAATGTCCTTGAGTGGCCCAGCCAGAGCCCGGACTTGAACTCGATCGAACCTCTCTGGAGAGACCTGAAAATAGATGTGCAGCGACACTCCCCATCCAACTTGACAGAGCTTGAGAGGATCTGCAGAGAAGAATGGGAGAAACTACCCAAATACATGTGTGCCAAGCTTGTAGCATCATACCCAAGAAGACTCGAGGCTGTAATCGCTGCCAACGGTGCTTCAACAAAATACTGAGTAAAGGGTGTGAATACTTACGTAAATGTGATATTTCTGTTTTTTATTTTAAATAAATTAGCAAAAATGTCTACAATTTTTTTTTTCCTTCCCTTTTGTCATTTATGGGGTATTGTGTGTAGATTGATGAGGTAAAAAAAAACAATTTAACACATTTTAGAATAAGGCTGTAACGTAACAAAATGTGGAGAAAGTGCGAAGGTATATGCACAACTACACAGACACAAGACATACAGTGCTGCTTGAAAGTATGTGAACCCCTTGTGCAATTACAGATTTTTTCTGTTTTTACCATGAAATCTTCATTTAATCAGAACCAGTCTTTTTTCATCTGACATAACAGGTTTATATTTCCCAATACCATATGTTGGTGTAGAGGAAATCATGCCTGTAGTAGAAAAACACAATTTAAAAGGAATTAGTGCAGGTGCAAAAATAAGTGAACCCCAAGTTGCATTGATTAAATCAAGTAGGTAAGTAGAATCAGGTGGGTAAATAATTAGCAACCAAATGAACCAATCAAAGGAGAGATCATTAGGAAAGAGTTTGGGCGGGTTTCTGATAAATAGAAACCTGGTCAGTTTGGTGTTACTCATCCAGGTGAATGCAAAGCACTCCATGCCGAGAGGAAAGGAGATCTGAGGACATCAGGACGAGGGTAGTGAGAGCACATTAGTCTGGGGAAGGCTATAAAATCATCTCAAAAAGATTTGAGCTCCATCAGTCCACTGAGGCAATCATTTACAAATGGAGAGCATTTAACATGACAGCAACTCTGCCTAGGAGTGGATGGACTTATCCCCAAGGTCCACAAGAACAATCATAAATCAGGTAAAAGCCAACCCAAACATCTTAGAGATTTGCATACCTCCCTTGCTGCTTCTCAGATAACTGTGCATGCTTCAACAATAAGATTACTGAATCGAAATGCCATTCATGGGAGGGTTTCTAGGAAGAAGCCTCTGCTGTCAACAAAGAACCAAACTGCCCATCTTAACTTTGCCATGGACAACTTGGACAAACCTGAAGGTTTCTGGAAGTCCATTCTCTGGACCGACAAGTCCAGAATTGACCTTTTTGGTCACAATCAACACCGCGATGTTTGGTGAAAACCCAACACCTCCTGCCACTAAAATAACCTTAACCCAACGGTCAAGCATGGTGGTGGGAATGTCATGATATGGGGCTGCTTTTCCTCCTCTGGACCTGGACGACTCCACATCATTAAGGGAACCATGAATTCTGAGGTATACCAGGAGATTCTTGAACAGAAGGTCAGGCCATCAGTCAAGGATCTAAAGCTGGGCCGAAAATTGATCTTCCAACAAGACAACGACCCAGAGCATAAAAGCAAATCTACCAAACAATGGCTCAAGAGAAAGAAGATTTGTGTTTTGGATTGGTTCACCCCTCAAACCTCATTCAATTGGCTGAGTTCTGTAAGGAGGACTGCGCAAAAATCCCTCATGAGATGTCAGAGATTAATTACTGGCTATAGGAGACATTT